TTTACTTTCGTTATTGAATCGGGATGAGATTGAGGAGTTTCTTGAGATTATAGTGTTGATTATTAGAGTTTTTTGAGTTAGATTCTTGTGTACATGTTTGGGGTATCTGAATCTAAAGAGAAATTGAGGAAAGGGTCGAATTTAATCGAATTAATATCAGAAAACGAGTTGAAAAGTTTGTCGGGTTTGCCTGGGGGAAGCTAGCGCGGTGCGCCCCTGATGCGCCAAGGAGGCTGGGGTGGCGCACCAGCAATGCGCCCAAAATAGGTCTATGAGCTTTGGGGGCTGGTTGGCGCGCCAGCAGTGCGCCCGGGTCGTCCGCCCCCACCCGTTTTTCATCGTTTAGCCCGTCTGAGTCCTTCTAAAGTGTACTAACACTTACTATCGATTCTAACTACTCTAATTGACTTCTAAACATCTAGAAATCATCCGTAAACATGAATCAAAACCTTGAATCCATAAATTCAAATTCAAGGAAAGTTAAGAGGCAAGTCTAGAGAGTTCTTAGAGTCATTTCAAAAGTCTTTTTATTAATGTTTTAAACTTGTTTTAAGACTTAAGCATTGAATTGAGTAAGAGTAAGAGTGAAGTTCATTTTCTTCAAAAGACTATATGGGGACTAAGTATTCCCAAAGAGTAAATGTTTCCACATTTAAACAAGAACGAAAACACCGATTTCCAAGAGAGTGTTTGAGTAATAATCTCAAACCACAGAGAAAGAGTTATGTTTTTAAAACATATGAGCTGAGTATATTTTGGGAGTAGTATTTAGCACCGATATGGGGACGAGTTCATAATAACTCAAGTCTCCATAAACCATGTAGCCAACGTGGGTAGAAAGTGTCATACTTTTTAGATGATTCCTTAATGCTTTTTAGCATAGACTAGTGGATCCACTTAGTTGAGGCGTTCTATATCCCAACAAATTATAGGATAGTTCTGGCAGCGTGGGCGAGACGTTATATCATCACATAGCTCATAGTGATGGTTGTCGGTTAGAGAAATTCCTACATAATTATATTACTTTATTATATATATAAATTGAGTTGTTATGGTATTTCTCCAATACATTGAGTTGCTACTTACTGTTTAAATGCTTTATATAAACCGCATTTTTACTGTTGTTTATTTCTGCATTGAGTTGAGTAACCATGAGTTGAGAAAAGTTGAGGTAAGTGTTTATTTCAAGTTTATGTCATGTTTAGGTTTCCCCTCCCATGCTCGTACATCAATGTAGTGATGCCATTTGGCCTGCATCATTTTATGATGCAGATACAGGTAACCAGGATCAGCATCCAACGCTTCGTTGAGCACTCAGAGTCATTTGGTGAGCCTCCTTGCTTTTCGGAGGGTCCCCTTTTATTGCTTTGTTTATTTCAATTGTTAGTATGATCAGGGGTCTTGTCTCGACATCCCTCTTAAGTATTAGAGGCTTCATAGACAGTTAGACATTAGTAGTTCGTTAGTCTTATTCATTTCAGTTGTTTTGATCGTAAGACTTGAGTTGTCTTTATGGCCAGTTGAACGTTTTTCCTTTATACATTCTAAGTTTGATTATGAATTTATCTCTTGAGTTGTCTTAAATGTTGAGTAAAGTCTTCCGTTGAGTAGTAAGTCAGGCCAAGGGTTCGCTTGGGACCAGCAATGGTTCTCGAGTGCCAGTCCCACCCAGGGTGTAGGCTCAGGGCATGACAATTATATATCGCTAATCACCATCCTCATTCACTATAACCATTAGGTATCAATATCATTTTATTACTAATTTTAGATGGATATATATGAAACGAATTATGCATATATTAATTTAAGTATAACTTATACGACGTTTGGTAGGTAGATAACAAATAAGTTATTCATACATAAAATTAATACAATATTTGGTTGACAATTTAGATATTCGCACAACTAATAAATATATAAGTTATGACGAAATCATTGTGTTATTCTATGGGTGATAGAATATGCATGGAATAACTCATACATGTATAACCAATACATGAATAAGTAATCACTGTATAAAATAATACATAGATTCACTCATAATTAATCCCTACACATTTTCATCTAAGTTTTAATTTTTTTTATGGGATAACAAATTAGGAAAAACTACCTAACTAAACAAAAATTCCTACTGTATTTATTAATTTTCTCTATAGTTTGAAATAATTACATATTGTCTCACTAATTAATAATTTCATACCAAATTTCAAGTCAGATACACCTACATGTATTTTTACTATCAAATACACTAAAATAGGGAGAGATGTGAGTGAGATAGTCTATGTAGCTCAGATACATACGAATCATACTAGATACATGTATTTGAGATAATAGATACATGGAGAGAGGTGTGCGAGAGATGAGAGTGGTGAGCAAGATAGGAGGGAGACGAGCCAAAGAGTAGATATATGTGAATATATTTGAATATAGTGTATCTAAAATAAATTCCACCAAATTTTGACTTTATATATCCGAGATATATGTATCGGACGCGCCAACTACATGTATCTGAAGTCCAAATTCTGGTAAGTTTCATAATAATGAGAAGTAAAGAGAAGAAAGATAATTAGGTACTAAACTAATGAGATTTATGTAAGTTGTCCACTTATCCTTCATTTTAATATTCTTAAAGGAAATGATTAGTAAAATCAGAAGCTTAATCATGCAGGAACATTAGCCATTCCAGTTATCAAAAAATAATGAGTAGGTAAAACTATATAATTAGACATACTTAACTACAATATATACATATTTTACCTCTAGTTTAAAAATATTACTCATAATACCACTTTTTAATAATTATATCATATATTTTAAAAAGTTAAATCAGATACACAAATCCCTTAAATATGGTATTAGATAATTATCTTAAAACTTAAATTCCTTAATTAAGGGTACTTTAACAATTCAATTTCTCTCAATCTCCTCCCCCAACAATATCTCTCCCCCACCCCCACGTTATCCACCATTTTTCTCTCTTTCTTCATCCTTTCAAAGACATAATTTCTTTAAAATATCTATCAAAAAACATTTTCATTCATCATCTCAACACAGAAATGAGGGTTACTCCTATTCAAACATGAACTGTATTCAAACTAAACAATTTCACAGCCAAAACTTGCAAATTCTATATATAAAAAAAAAACCAAAATCAAAAGCCAACAAGAAGAGCGAGATCGGAGCAATCGGAATCATTATCACTGTTATATCTAGACTCAGCATCGACACTACTACTTTCCTGACTATAACAGCCATCGTTGCCGTCATCTCTGTTCAACAAATTTCCTCCGCTTTCACCATCGAGACTATGAATTGTGTTTGATTTTAAATATCCTATGTATCTAGTTTGTTTGTTTCATGCATCTGATGTAATATTTTTATGTATTTGATCTTTTATGTTAATGTATCTAAGCTTTCAATGTCTTGTAGCTGCTTTTTGTTAATGTATCTAAGTTGTTAATGTCGTGAATCTGATTTTTCCTGTTAATGTATCTGGTATGTATATGAATTTGGCTATAGTGAAAACAACTTCACCATCACAGTTTTAAAATGGAATAAAAATGGCTATTGTGAAAAAAAACAGAGATCAAGATTCGGAGAAATAAAATTGAATTAATGGAAAGAAGAAGATTTTATACACTTTTTATGTTTCTCGAAAAAAATGAACAAATTTCTATATTCTTGGAATAAGCAAAGTGTCGATAAAGGTAAAAATAAGGTAAAACTATATAATTAGACATACTTAACTACAATATATACATATTTTACCTCTAGTTTAAAAATATTACTCATAATACCACTTTTTAATAATTATATCATATATTTTAAAAAGTTAAATCAGATACACAAATCCCTTAAATATGGTATTAGATAATTATCTTAAAACTTAAATTCCTTAATTAAGGGTACTTTAACAATTCAATTTCTCTCAATCTCCTCCCCCAACAATATCTCTCCCCCACCCCCACGTTATCCACCATTTTTCTCTCTTTCTTCATCCTTTCAAAGACATAATTTCTTTAAAATATCTATCAAAAAACATTTTCATTCATCATCTCAACACAGAAATGAGGGTTACTCCTATTCAAACATGAACTGTATTCAAACTAAACAATTTCACAGCCAAAACTTGCAAATTCTATATATAAAAAAAAAACCAAAATCAAAAGCCAACAAGAAGAGCGAGATCGGAGCAATCGGAATCATTATCACTGTTATATCTAGACTCAGCATCGACACTACTACTTTCCTGACTATAACAGCCATCGTTGCCGTCATCTCTGTTCAACAAATTTCCTCCGCTTTCACCATCGAGACTATGAATTGTGTTTGATTTTAAATATCCTATGTATCTAGTTTGTTTGTTTCATGCATCTGATGTAATATTTTTATGTATTTGATCTTTTATGTTAATGTATCTAAGCTTTCAATGTCTTGTAGCTGCTTTTTGTTAATGTATCTAAGTTGTTAATGTCGTGAATCTGATTTTCCTGTTAATGTATCTGGTATGTATATGAATTTGGCTATAGTGAAAACAACTTCACCATCACAGTTTTAAAATGGAATAAAAATGGCTATTGTGAAAAAAAACAGAGATCAAGATTCGGAGAAATAAAATTGAATTAATGGAAAGAAGAAGATTTTATACACTTTTTATGTTTCTCGAAAAAAATGAACAAATTTCTATATTCTTGGAATTTTTTTTTGAAGTTGTTATGTTGCAGATCCTCAAAAGTTGTTAACAATAGTGAATTACTTTATTGATTGAGCAAATTAGTTATAATCATTTAATTCAAACGCTTTAAAATATGTATCTAACTTCAATTGTATCCCATAATTTACTCCGCTAATTAAGGCATTAAGTTAACATATTTAATTCAAAAGTATGTGTATCTCGATCTTATACACCCGACTGATACATGTATCTGAAACTTTAAATTGTAAATCTCGGTCTTATACATCTGACTGATACATGTATCTGACGTATCTCGACACATGTATCCAATAGCCGAAAATGGTATAGAATGTAATATCAAAAACTATCGAGATTCCTAGTAATTAGGATCTAAACTTGTGGGATTTATGTAGTTTACCCATAATGAAAACCAAACACCTGAAATATCATCCTAAAAAGAGTAGCTTCCCACAATTTCAAAATTAACAAGACACGAGCACTACTTGTAGGCTAATGAACTGATGATGGTTGAGAAACTGAAGATGTTTAAAAAGTCATTGTGAAGTACATACCAAAAACCAATTTAGAAATTTTAGACACATACTTCCAACATATTATTAAAGTTTTGTGATAGTGGCAGATGAATAAAGATCATGGATGTGAACTGTGACATTAAACTAGAAGAGAACCTTCCATGACTGCCACAACATTCCCTCTCATAAATACCTTCTGCTTCGCGTCGTCTACATGCAGGTTCAAGACGCCACCTCTAGGTGAGGCCTGAACAACAAAACAATACAATCAATTGGGCAAACCGAACTATGTAGTTGGTATAAGTAGTCCCAGATTGCACAAACACATGAATAAGTATTACAGTCTTTGCATTTTGAGAAATGAGTAAGTATCGCTAAAGCAACAAAGTCACATTTGCGAAGCTTTTCACGCCAATAAGGAGCCAAGGCACAATGAGCACTTCCACTAAAAGGATCCTGAAAAGTTGTTTGAAGAAAAAATGTGCAATAAGAGAACACGTGAGATCTCTAAGATGCATCAGCTATATCAACATATAGATGTTTGCATCTGTAGTTGTCGAAGATATGATAAATAATATCAATATGACTCGCTTAATTATCTAGACTTTGCAAAATTCAGCACTACCCTTTTCAGTGACTATGATCTGCTTGAATGCAAATACTATACATTCAAGTGTTGGTAGTTACCTCATTGATTCCAAACTTTGGGCAGAAGAAATGGCTATAGAAATCAAAGCCGGAACCCTGTGGAGCAGGTCCAGTTATTATCATTCCTCTGCCAGGGCAGTTTTTTATTAGATCAATCTGAGGTTTGCATTTGACCACTGCCTCCCCTGATGGGAGCAAAATATGCGGAAAAAAAACACATGAAATTATCTTTATATGCCTAGAAAGGGCTAATTTTAATTCATTTGACTACTATGAATTTCTTTTACATGATTTTTTCGGTCTCTATGCATTATTGTAATATAAAAGTAAAAGACCAGATTAAATTCGTACAAAATGATCACCCATCGATGTCTCATAGATCTCAACCACAGATGCACCATTGAAGCTTTTAGAAATTGCAGGAATATCAGTAAAATTGGTCTCGGCTACTTAGACTCAATGGAGATTGAGAGAGATTACCACACAGTGTGTCGAGACCAATTTTACTGATAAACCGTTTGATGCTGCAACTGTCTACAACTGCACAATTGAAATTGGCATGTATCAGAGAATGAATTTGGGCAAATGTAGAAGTTCAGGATACTTACCCAAAGATCAGTTTACCTTAACCAAATGTACTTTCCATACAACACATCTAGCAGTTAAAAATACACTGCAAATTGACATCAATTAGAAAAAAGAAAAAAAAGTTCAGGATACTTACCCAAAGATCAGTTTACCTTAACCAAATGTACTTTCCATACAACACATCTAGCAGTTAAAAATACACTGCAAATTGACATCAATTAGAAAAAAGAAAAAAAAAGTTCAGGATACTTACCCAAAGATCACACCCGCCTGGACAAAATTTTTCACATTATCTTCTGTTCTCAAGTGCAAAATATCATCCAGTTGGCTGACTGGACATCCCGGAATCAAATTTGATTTGCAAATCCAATTGACTGAATCTGAGCCAGGACAGGACATCCCTAAATCAAATTTGATCTACAAATCCAATTGACTGAACCTGAGCCAGGACAGGGCATGCCTGAATCAAATTTGATCTGCAAATCCAATTGGTTGAACCTGAGTCAGGACAGGACGTGCCAGAATCTAACTGAGGTTCGCGTTGATGGAGGAACTGGAAAAAGAGGGATTCATTAAGCTTTGTGTTGGCAAATCAAACGAGAAAGAGATAAATCAGCGTTGGTAGAAGAACTGGAACGGAAAAAACAGGGACATTTCTCATTAGGACTTGGGTTGACAATTCAAACAAGAGAGATAGATCCAGCATAGCTTTCGAAACAACTCGCATAGATTCATTTGGAATTAAGTAAAAACTTGCATAAAGAAGTTAGATCATCGATAAGGTCACCATTGAAACTAGTAATTAGCTAACCTGACAAATGAAAAAATAGGTTACATCGGAATATGCAATGAACTACATTTTATCAGAGCTGCAAAGTAGCTTAGCCTTGCATACTTAAAGGCAGCAGCGGATCTAGGGTATCGGGTTAGGGTTTTCGGGAACAATTTTTTATGCAAACCTTATATTCATACGGAGAAATCTATTAAACATATAAGAAATATTTGTTGACAACTTACACTTGGTTCATGGTAGTGAAGAAGACACTTATACTTAGTTTGCCTTTTTTGTATGGAGGTTCGATTTGCCTAGGACACATACAAAAAAGTTCTTTTCAATTTGAAATTATTGTTTAGGAATGAAATCTAGAAACATAGAAAATTATTTATTCAAAAGGGAAACTTCTTTAAATGTGTCCAAGGCTAATTGAACCCCCATACAAAAAATCAAGCTAGGTATACGTGTCTTCTTCACTACCACGGGACCAAGTGACTGCTTTGTTAGTAAGTTTCAACAAATATTTCTTATATATTTAATATATTTCTCTGTATAAATACAAGGTTTGCGCAAAAGTTGTTCGCGAAAATCCTAACTCGATACCCTAGATCCGCCGATGCCTTTAAGTAAGCTAGGCCAAGCTACTTTGCAGCACTAAATCAAATGTAGTTCATTGCATATTCCAGTGTAACCTATTATTTTATTTATCAGGTTAGCTAATTACTAGTTTCATTGGTGACCTTATCGATGATCTGACTTCTTTATGCAAGTTTTTACTTAATTCCAAATGAATCTATGTAAGTTGTTTTGAAAGCTAGTTGGATGTATCTCTTTCTGGTTTGAAATGCCAACCCAAGTCCTAATCAATAATGAATCTTTATTTTTTCGATCTAGTTCCTCCACCAGCTCTAATCTATCTCTTTCTCATTTGATTTGACAACCCAAAGCCTAATGAATCCCTTTTTTCCCTGATCTAGTTCCTCCGCCAGAGCGAACCCAGTTAGATTCAATCACCTCATGTCCTGACTCAGGTTCAACTAATGGGAAAATGCATAAGTACCCCCCCCAGCCTATGCCCAAAATCTCTGAGACACTCCTAACCTTTATTAAGGTCCTATTACCTCCCCGAACTTATTTTATATATAATTTTCTATGTGGCACTATCTTGTGGGCCCAGCGCGTGTTGACAATGTTTTCAAGAATAGTGCCACGTAGGTCGAAAAGGGGTAGAAAATTATATATAAAATAAGTTCGGGGGGTAATAGGACCTTAGTAAAGGTTAGGTGTGTCTCAGGGATTTTGGACATAGACTGGGGGGTACTTATGCATTTTCCCTCAACTAATTGGATTTGCAGATCAAAATCAATTCAGGCATGTCTTATCTTGACTTAGGTTCAGCCAATTTGATTTACAGATTAAATTCGATTCAGGGATGTTTTGTCCTGACTCAGGTTCAGCCAATTGGATGATATTTTGCAGAACAAAAGACAATGCGGGAAATTTGTCTAGGCGGGTGTGATCTTTGGGTAAGTATCTAGAACTTCTGTTTTTCTAATTGATGTCAATTTTCAGTGTATTTTAAACAGCTAGATGTGTTGTATGGAAAGTACTGTCATACATCATTTTAACGGGGTCAAAATAGTGTACAACATATTGATGATTCCTAAATTCATAACTAAGTTAAGGTGTCACCACCTAATTATTTATGGTGAATTAGGGCACCTAAAATTGATCAAATTCATGTCTAAAGTTAACTCCATTTAAGGTTTACTAAACATAAAATTCTAAATAAGGGTTCAACTAACCTAAAGTGGAGGTATTAAGCACCCTTTAAGATCCATTAACAATGGTTAACGGGTCGAATTAATTAATTAGGCTAAATGTGATTGATTTGAAAAATACTAATAAGTGGGTATATAAATAAATTAGCCAAGTAAAATGATTTCTTAAAAAAAACATAGATGGAAAAACTAGAAGGGTATTTGATTAGGTAAAATCTCAAGCTTTAGGTTAACAAATTGAAATAATTTATATACAAAACTCGAAATCATTAAAACGTATTAATAAATCATTCTCGGCCAATTGTAAGTCATGAATCAAATCGGCTAGTAATCAATAATCACATAACTGAGATAAAAGTGTTAGTCATGCCAAACAAGTAAGCAAGCAGATGTAAGAAACAATAATTATGAAAGCAGGGATGTGCAGACCCCATGTGACAATGGTGTCGTTGAGTCTCATGGTGGGACTCTTCGGCTCCGGTGTGTACATGTAAACAAATATAAGAGAGGAAATAAGAATTAGTTAACAGATTTCAACAAATATTCAAGACTTTTAGATCTTTTTTTATGATTAAACATAAGGAATAGATGTGCTGCAATAATAGTTTGAATACTGTAACGACACGGTTCATAACAATATCTCTAAAATTAATACTAACTTTCGGTAGTGTTAAGGGAGAGAGATTCAAATACAGCCTTAAATATATTCATGTGTTATCCAAAAACTCACCCAAAGGTTTAGTATAAATTCTTTGAAAAAAAGACTTCTAACTTACAAACTAGAACTCTTACAGAAGGAACATAAGTACTACTTTAAAATGTAATTATGATTTTTAAGCGAATTAAACACGGTAAAACTAAAAAAAAAAGGGAAAAAGGAAGTTGACGGTACCGTTTGTGGGCAGTGAACTGAGGTCGTTGATCAAGGATCTTAAGTCGTTCCTCTGACAAAGTCAAGCAATAGAGAGTAGAGTAAAAGATGTTTTCGTAAGATGATATTGAAATGTAAAAGAGTGGTGTTATTGTGAGTGTTCAAGCCTTTGAGAAAGTATTTTGATAATGAAATGATGAAAATTTTCCAATGTTTCCAGGGTGCTATTGGATGAGAGATTGAGATGTATTTATAGACAAAAAAATTGGGGTTAAGGTCTCATCTTTTGAAATTCAAATTCAGCCGTCACGAGATGATTTTGGATTCCACAAACAGAAGCGTTTGAACACTGAAACTTTGCCCAAAAAAATCAAAATCAAAAAGCTTTTTGGCTTCTTGTATTGACCAAATCTTCTCTTATGATGAGAGAGAGAGCACTGTTGAAGTGAATAAAGCTATGAGAGAGGTATAACATTTGTCAAAAATGGTGTGACAACTTCTATTTAGTGTTGATGGAGATGGTGAGCTTTCATTGAAATGGGGAGTAATTTCCTTAGATAGTTATTCATGTTTGAAAAATTACCTACTAATATCACTTTTGTTTGATTTAGGACTACAATATCACCTAAGCATATTTTTCTCAAAATATACTTGACACAAAAAAACATTTTTCTCTCTCGCCTATGTCACATTATTCCTCTTTTACTAATAATTAAAATGATTAACTTTTTAAATCAACCTATATGATATACTCTGTAAAAATAATAATTACATAACACAAAGTGAACATTTTTAAACAACTCATATTTGTTTTCTGTTATTACGGTTAACACTAATTATTTATTCTAAATCATTTTTTAAATCATTCATTCTTTAAGTTCTTATAAAATGCACAAGGTTAACATTAAAAACAAGTAAAAGTGAACAAAAAAAAAAAGTTTGACGTTAGAGAACAATTTTCACGTACTCATAAAAACTCAAGAGTATTATATCAACTAATTCTTTTTACGGAATTTTTTCTAGCAACTATTCCCTCTGTCCATTTTTTATTTATTCATTACGTTATAAATAATTATTCATTTGTTACTTGTTTTCTTTAGAAAATCAAGTGATAATTTATTTAATTCCTAATCCACTCTTATTATTAATTATAGTCATTTGCCAATGCATTTTTTAAAATATAAAATTTATTATTTTAAAAGATTGATATAGTAAAATTATCTTTATTATTTCTCAAGAGATATGTCAAATTAATACTTAACAAGTAAAGATGTAAAGATGGACGGAAGGAGTAGAAACTAAATTTTTCCAGTTTTAAAAAAAAATTAAAAAATATTAATTAAAAAAAAAAGAATAATATGACATGAAATATCATTAAAAGTGTGCACTTTGCATATTCTTTAAGAAATTAAAGAAGGAATGATTTAAGAAATAATTTAGAAAATAATTAATGTTAAATGTAATAATAGAAAAACAAATGTCTATCTCTTAATATGCTAAAGTAAAAAACTAAAAATGATAAATAATTTAAAAAAAATTAATGAATATAACATATGAGTTATTTTAAAAAGTTAAATTTTTTAAGAAAAAATGAAAATGTGACATCACTACATCAAAAATGATCTTTAGCGGCAATTAATTAACGGCAATAGTTCAATTGCCACTAAATATGTATTTTTAGAGGCAATCAACACTCTTTGTATATGTCCCTAAAACCTTTAGCAACATTGGATCTAATAACACTTAACTAATGCCGGTAAAAGCTTTAACACTCTTTATTAATGTGTTTATTTATTGCCGCTAAAAGGTGTTTTGATTGTAGTGCATGGCATCCCAATAGGAGAGAGAACAATTATTTTTTTGTGTCTAGTATATTTTGAGGAAAATATGTAAAGTTGGGTGATATTGTGGTCCTAAAACAAACATAAGTGATATTACTAGGTAATTTCTCAAACATGAGTGACTATCTAGGGAAATTACTCTTGAAATGGGAGGGGGAGGAGCATCTAAGGACTAAGACCTAGTTGGACTTAGAATTAATGGAACAATATTGGATGAATTGGGCCTAAATTTGTTGGGCTCAATTCGATTGGGCCACTAATTGGGTACGAATCTGATAGTTTTTCCCTTGAGAAAATTTCAGAAATAGCAAATATAGTAGATATAATAAGGTTTTATAACTATAGTTTTAATAATTGTGCTTCATAACTATAGTTCATTTGCTATGGAGGGTACGGTTTGTATAATTTTGCCTGTTTGTACATTTCTCTTGCGAATATACAAATAGGGTAAGTATATACAAAAATTTGTATTTATACATTTAGAAATTTTTCAGAACTTCATTTGTATATTTCGCTTGCCAATGTACAAACATGGTAATTTATTATAAATTTTTCATAAATCATATACAAGGATAAGCATATACAAAATTTTGCATTTATACAATCAGAAACTGAATTATACAAATTATTAATTTATACAAATATGGTGAATTATAAAAGTCATGGGAATAGCAAGAATTGAGGAAATTGCAGCTGCGAATTACATTTTTCTTAAATTGTAGCTATAGTACCTAACATAGGCTAAATGTTTGCTATTTTGCATAATATTCCCTTTTTACCTTCTCTTTTGAAGAATATTCTTTCTTTGAGCTTCTAATTTAATAACTAGTATAATATATATTATGTAAAAAGTTTAGTAAGTAAGAAACTTGAAATAAAGTAACGACGATCATTTTAAAGAAGACAGCAATATAGTAGTAATGTTAATGATAAAAATATTATTTTAAAATAATGAAAATATTAATAAAAGGATGATAATCATAAAAATAATAAAGGCTAGAGTAATAATATTAATAATATCTAATGAAAATTACGACAACATTAGTAATAAATCAAAATAGTCGTGAAGTATAAAGTATTTGACTTATTACTAATTTAGAAGCTCAACGAAATAAATTAGAAGAAGTGGGGGACAAAATTGGGTGCCAACAAGTACATTTGATTAAGGTTAACTGAGAAGTTTTCTACATCTGCCCCCACTGAAATTCATTCTCTAATACATGCCAATTTCAAGTGTCCAGTTGTGGATAGACTCAAACTGGTTATGCTCTAGATGTTGCAGCACCAAACGGTTTATTTGGGCTTGGTATCGAGACCAACCAATAAATTGATCCATAGTCATATGTAAGAAATGAAAATAAACATCAAAATTCATGCATTAAATAGAGTAAACTGAGACTCGATGGAGAAATTTTGTGTATACCTGACAAAGATTAGGTCCAGAAGCCCATGAAACCTTTTTAGATTTCTTCAAGCCCATGATTTATTTATTTTTTGACAATCAACATGCTAGTTATATTAATGCATAAAAAAGTTCAAAGAATTAAAAGATGTGATAGCATCATTTACAATCCATCTAGGGAAAGTAGAAAGCCAAACAACTTTGCGTACTAACGAAATAGAAAAATTTGCTAAATTATGTGCTACTAAATTCCAAGACCTTGGAATATGCGGCCCGAGCCTACACCCTGGGAGGGACTAGCACTTGAGAACCAATACTGACCCCAAGCGAACCCTTAGCCTGGCTTACTACTCAGCGAAAGACTTAAACACAAGAAATAGTCTCAAATGATGAACTCATGAAATAACTTAGAATGTCTTAAAAGAAACATTCAACTGGCCAAGATGGCAACTCAAGTCTCAAAACATAAGCCAATAACAAAATAGTGACAAATGAATTAATTAACTATCTATGAAGCCTCTAATAATTGAGATGGACGTTAGGACAAGACCCACGACATCCTAATGAACTAAAATACTGAAAGCAATAAAAAGGGGATCCTCCAGAAGCAAGGAGGTTCACCAACAAACTCTGAACGATGCATTGGATGATGATCCTGGTTACCTCTATCTGCATCATAACAACGATGCGGGCCAAATGACATCAGTACATTGAATGTACGAGAATGCGAGGGGAATACTAAAACAAGACATAAGCTTGAAAGGAACTGAAAAAACTTACCTCGGCTCAACTCAACTCAACTTAACTCATTTCAATATAAAGCAATAATATGAATGCAGTATAGAGAAAAGCTTTTAAAACATGGATATCAACTCTGTGTATTTAGAAATACAATAGTAACTTTGTATGTATTCAAGGATACAATATAAACTCTGGAATGTAGATAAAAATACAATTTACTTTTGTGTATATAAGAATACAAAATACTGATGTGGGAGTTTCTCTAACCGACAACCATCACTTAAGAGCTATTGTGATGATACATCGTTTTGCCTCACGCTGCTAGGGTCGTCCTATACCTTGTCGAGGGTATAGAACCTGACTACTAAGTGGATCCACTACTCTATGCTAAAAAGCACTAAGAATTCATCTAAAAAGTATGACCATTTTCTACCCATGGTGGCTACATGGTTTATGGGGGATGGGAGTTGTCTGAACTCTCCCCTATATCGGTGCTCAATACTACTCCCAAAATATAATACTAGCTCTTATGTTTAAAAACATAACTTCTTTCTGTGGTATGAGATAATTGCTCAAAACTTAGCTCAAAGGCTCTCTTGGAAATCAAAGTTTCCTCTCTTACTTAATTATGGAAGCATTTACTCTTTTACTGAAAATTAGCTCAAAGGCTCTTTTGGAAATCAAAGTTTCCTTTCTTACTTAAATGTAAAAACATTTTACTCTTTGGAAATACATAGTCCCGATATACTCTTTTGAAGAACTGAACTTCAATCTTTACTCTTTACTTAACTCAAAACTCAAGTCTTAAAACAAAGTTAAAACATTTGTAAAAGATTCTTGGAAAACTCTATGAACTTCTCTTGACTTGACTCCTAACTTTCCTTGAATTGAATTATGGATTCAAGGCTCATTATCTCATGTTATGGATGATTTCATGTTTTTTAGACGTACCTTAGAGTGTAGAAATCAACTAGGAAACATAGGTACGTTTCAAGGGAACTTGTACGGAAAGAAGTGGGAAAGGGTAGAGAACCTGGCGTCCCTGGCGCTCTGAGTGGCGCCGAGCGCCAGATCTGAAACTACAGAGTCTGGGTTGGGGTGCACTGGCTGGCGCGGCGCCCTAGGGCCCTAACTATAGACTCTGATGTGGGGCACTCTGAGTGGTGCGGCGCCCCACCTCTATTCCCCAGTTTTTTACGAATTCTCTTGGTCATTTTTCAACTCTAAACCCTCTAGATTCGATTGAATCTTTCCCCAAACACTTAGATTCGACTACATAATCAAAATATTCAAGAATCTACTCAAAACGACATCTAATTTCATGAATCTACATCAAGAACTTCTCAACAACTTCAACAATCAAGAACCCAATAGAAACTTCAAACAAATCCATCAAGAACTTAATTTCTATACTTTCAAGAACATAACTTCACTGAATAAAATCATGATTGGCGCGTGGGTGAACTAACCCAACATTGTGTGATCTCACATACCTC